TCAGGGTACCTTTCAAATGGTGCTGTTTCCATAGTGCTTAATGATGAGCCTCAGAAAGCTTTCTACCAGTAAGTGTTAGCGCTTTCATCTCACGGATTCTGTACAAAGCCAGAGGGAAGCATCTTTCTCATGAAGCAACTGCATCATATATTGCATTGCAATAATTTAATAGAGAAATGACATTGCTTAGATCTTGACATTTCTTGCAAAAGTTTTATTCATTTCTGAAAGAACCGCACATTCACACATACACTTAAACTACTTGCTTTGCTCATTCTCTCATGATTTGTTATGTATAATATTTGAAATGGTGAGGACCAAGATATTGCTATAAAACAGATGAGGTGGAATATTCCATCGTTTATGAAGAGAGTTCTGACCTTCTGGGCTTTCATTTAAACTTATCATGTCTATTTGAAGTAGGTGGAATGATATTGATCAGACTTACATAATCTTCATAAGCTTCAAATTAAAAAGCAAAATGGAGTTTAATATTGCCACTTGCCTTCAACAAGTACCTTGAGATTGTAGTGACTATCTTACTCAAAGTTGTGAATTCATATGTGCAGCACAAGATAGTTTCTTTAATTCTTAACCTTTTCTTTCAAAATGTGGCGTCAATGTGGGACCCGCCGAGTGGAAGCACACTGGAACCTCTCACGCAGTCACCTTCACGTGCTGGTCTGTGGACCGGATGAGTAGGATTGCCTACTCATCCACTTCCTAAGCAATGCAGGCACTCAGCTCCTATCCCCAGGTGCACAGCCAGGCGTGGGGACCACTAATGAGGGTTTTCCAAGAGTTCCTTCAGGCAGAGTCAGATACTCCCTTCGAAAGTGTTCACTCACCAAGACATCTGGGGAGCACTGCACATTAATCCCTTCAGAGACTGACAATGTACCTGATCGGATTGTAGGATTTTCTGCAGTAAAGAAACCAGCCTACCCCAGCATTTCCAAAATTTAAATGTGTGACCTTGGAATTTAATTTTTGCATTCATTTCCCACACTGAAATATGTGACTTTGGAATCCAATCCTTGCACTAACACCCAATCAAGATTTCCCAAGGATATGGCTTATGGGAAGGTAATCTGCTATAGATTTTTTTTAACAAGGGTTTAATTGGGGGAGCTCCCTATATATGCCTCTGTGAGTTGGGGAGAGTATGAGATACGTATGTTTCCCAAAGAGAGTGTGGTTCTATTAAGACTAGAAAGTACTTATCCTGAGAACTAATGTTTATTTAGGGCCTACTGTGTGCCCGGCACTGTGTCGGGTTCTTTAACTATGTGGATTTGTTAAATTCTCACAACAACCCCTGTGAAGGTGTTATTTTCAAGATGAGAAAATGAATCTTAGGAAGACCCCTCACATCTTTGACTAAGCGTGAACTCTGGCTTCTTACCTGGTACTTGGTTGTGGGAGGAAAGGGAGACATGGGGTCAGTAGAAGGGTGGACTGGTGGTGGTTGCTGTTAAAACCTTCATTTTCCAGAAAGATATTAATTATAGAAACAATATTCTATGCATTTAATTCATTTTAGAGTGCTTTTATTTTTAAGGATTTTCAAACTGCACCCTTCCTTGTGATAGCTGCTATCACAAAAATTACTAGGACTTTTAATAAAATTGCTAGCACTGTTTTCAGCATCAATTATCAATTCTGTGGTTATAATTGCCACTGTTTAATATTAACTATAAATGGCCAGGCCACTAGTTTATTTTGGGTATCCTTGCAACTCCTAAGACAAAAAATATATACAGATGACATATTACAGAATTGTATACTTGAAACTTATATAATCTTATTAACCAATATCACCCCAATAAATTTTTTAAAAATAGAAAACAAATCAACAAAAAATGAGAGCCAAAAAGAAACCCACTCAATCCATAGACCACCCCCCAAATTAGTCACTGCCGTGCTTCTGAGGGGGGGCCAGGAGGACGGGTGGTCTGTTTTGTATCATGTACATCCATGACTTACAAAAATGAAATTAAAAATTATAAAAAATAAAAATAGAGCAAAAATATAACTTTATACCCTGTGTGGCATGCCACGATCCAGGTGGTTGTACCACTTATTTGATCGCCCTTGGAGGAGAAGGGCCCGTACGCCATGAGAAGCAGCGTTTAGGGGCCTGGAGTGAGGGCCTGAGAGAGCCCAGGCGGAGGTTTCCCGAGAGCGATATCCCAGTGCAGGGCCTCCAGAGTCTCCCCTTTCTCCGCTTTCTCTCTTCTTCCGAGTTCTCTCTGCCTCCTGTGCTCTCCTGTCATTTTCTGTCACCCGTCCTGGTCCTGGAATAGCTCCTCAGATGTTCTTCCCCACTTGCCAAGGCACTCAGCCCCCATCCCAGGCCCTATTCAGTGAATCGTGGCTCAGGGCTGGCTTTCCACCCATTCTTCCCTGAGAGGTATACTGAAGGCCAACGTGAGAAATGACCATGTAAAAACCTCTCACACCTTCTGGCAAAACTGCTTGTGAAGATATTGTACATCAAATCTTTCTGTGTTCCTCATGGGAAAGAGCCACATCATCAGAGTTTTCCAGAATTCAGTTCCAGAAATGAAAAATAGATATTAAAAATAGATTATTAACATTATAATAATATATTAATGTATTGTTGTTATGGAAATTTTCCAGAATTAACATGATGTATAAAGGAATGAGCCAGATTGCTTCTCTTTGCAACAAAAAAGGTTGTTTCCATTTTGGTCTTGGAAAAGATTTAATCCTTAATTACAGCATGATGTACTATTTTTTCCTGTCTCTGTTTTGGAAGTTATATTAAATACATGTGTGTCACCTGCAATTTTTCTGAAAGTAGTAGTAAATGTGATTTTCGGAACTTTTGCAGAGTTACTGACTTTTGAGCTCTGCATATTTGCAGTTTGAAAGCTCAAGTTGCATTTTAATTTCCACTATTTCATGATTTAGATCAGATACTCTAAAATTCACATGTTAGGGGAAAGATGATTATCACCAAATGGGTACTGCTCAGAGTCCCCAAATTTTTCAAGTGACTTTTTCTTATAACTAAATACCAATTTATTATAGAAAATTTAAATTGCAGATAGGTAAAAAAAAAAAAAATCCTGTGATCCCACCAATCATTATTAGCTTTCCAAATATGACTTGCCAAGTATTTTTAAGTTACACATAGGTATTTTTTTTAACCAAAACCAACATTGTTCTGTCATGTCATTGAAGAGAGAACACACACAGAACCCATAACCAATAGTAACTATAAAATACAATAAGAATGCTTGGCTAGTAGGAGCCAAGTAGAAGAAATCAAATCAATAAAATTATTTTTTCCAATGCTAGAGATAAGTTGTAAAATAATTCTGAACTGCTTTATATAATTTTATTTAATTTTGGGGGATTAATTTTAAAAATCAACATTAAATATAAAGTATAGATTGAGAACTTCTATCCATCACTATCTCATCCTAACTCTTCACCTGATTTCCTGTGGTAGAAATTTTTTTATTTAAATCACTTTATTGAAGTATGATTAATATGTAAAAAGCTGTACACATTTAACATATACAACTTGAAGAATTTGGGGATAAGTATACACCATGAAACCATCACTGCCATCAAGGCAATAGATATATCCATCACCTCCTAAAACTTTCTCCTGTTATTATTACTGTTATTATTATTATTAGGCAAGAACATTTAACACAATATCTGTATCTTAGCAAATTTTAAGTATATAATATAGTTTTAGTAGTTATAGGTACTATGCTATATAGTAGATCCCCAGAATTTACCTTGTATAACTGAAATTGTACCCTTTGACCATTAGTTTCTTGGGTTGGAAATAAGAATATGTATTTCCTACATAGACGAAAGGCAGGGTATTATCTGCATTCTTCCATACCTTTCTCTTTTTGCTTAATAGTCTTCCCTGGAGAACTTCCATATGAAAACATAGAAAGCTTTGTTACTTTTTATAGCTATGTAATATTCAGTTCTGTGGATTTACCATGGTTTACTTTGTCATCTACAGACTATCTTTTGCTATTATTAACAGTGTCACAGTGAATACGCATGTATGTACACCTCCTTAGGCACATGTGAATCCAACTTTAGGAAATTTTCCAGGATTGAAATTGCAGAGACAAAATGTTCATATAAATTGTCAAATTGTCCTTTATAAAGATTACACCATCATTCATTTCCATCAGCATGTATCACTACATCCTCATAATTATTTATTTGAAAAACGTTGTGTGATTTTTAAAAAAAAAAACTAATTCTATTCCAGTGATTCCTGCTTATTAGAGCTTATATTCTCTGAGCTCAAAGTAAGTAATATCTTACTTTGAAGTTCTTATAGTCAACTCTTTATTATTTATTAGCACAGAAAGGAGCCATGGCGCAGATGTCCACAATAGCAGATTATTCAGTAGTAATTCAATTCAACTTTGAAGTGGATTGTAACTTTTTCTCTGTTAACTTTTTTTCCAAAATGATGTCTGCATTAGGAAACATTAACTCTTATTTTTTAATACAAACTGGCTGTCGTGGAAGGCCAATAATTAGAAAGAAGTTGTGTAGGATTAAAAAGTTTTTCACTTTACCTCTGGGATTACAGATGATATTAATTTGTTCTTTTTTATATTTATATCTATGTTTTAAATATTACAGAGTATTCAGGTGACTTGTATAAAAATAGGCTTGTAGTTGCTGTTAAAATAAAAGGCCCAAAACAAATACAATATTTCATTACTTTCAGCCTGAGAAGTATAAACCCCTAAGGTAAACTTTATTACTTTAAGTTGCATTAATTAATCAGTTAATGTACATTTTAATGAAATGAGTTCCAACATATTTAAAACTATGTTTGACCACGTTATCACTTAGTGGAGAAGCCATGTGTAAATAACTGAGGGTTTACGAGGTTGAGTTGGCCTCAGCACAGTCCTCTGGGGTGGAGCGGGGGTCAGCAGTACAGAGATGTCTGACTTAGCCTTTCTCTCCCCTCACAGCATCTTCCTCAAAGAGCTGGAGAAGTACGAGCAGCTGCCTGAGGATGTGGGACACTGCTTTGTTACCTGGGTAACTGACCTGAAATCCTGTTCTCCCATCCCCCGTGCTTCCCAGGAGTGAAGATGACGCCAGATGGCATCACTGTTCGGTGCCTGACCTGAGAATGTATCACTGACATTCTAACAGAGGACCAGGGACTGTAGAAAAGGGCCATGAGTAGATCTGAGAGAAGCAGTCCCTCCTTGAGGAGGAGAGCCCTCCTTGGGAAAAGTCCTTAGACATCGTGTCCAGGTGCCATGCTAAGTTTTCTAGCACTTTCTAAAATTAAGGTATCAGAAGATGGGAACAAGACCACCACCCTTGATAGAGGACTACTCTGGCTCCATCGACTATTTTTGTTTTGTTTGTTCGTTTTTTAACTGGATGAGGATTAGGGAATCAGACCCTTAGGAATACATCAAGCCACCAAGCCATTGGGTACATTTTCTTCCTTACTAGAGAAGAACACACTCTTTGGGTATCCATCCCAGTTCTGACCTGCAAGATGAGTGTCAAGTCATTCTCTTTCAAGGTGCTATTGTCATGGGCCAAGTCAATGGGCTGAATGTACCAGTTCTAATTACGTGAGTGGAAACAGTAGTCTCCATTAGCATCCCCACATCACATTAGTTTCAACTAAGGTTTGTGATAGGAATGCAAAGATCTCCCGAGAAGGTCACGAAGGACAGTATGTGCCACCAAACATGGAAATTCTTCCCACAGGTCAGGAGTTCTAATATTTAATAATTGTTGTCTAATTATAACTTCTGCTCAAAATGGGTGAATTACTTTTCAAAATAGCTTCATTCTTCAAGAGTTATGGAATAGGCAGGGCTATGGTTATCTTTTATGTTTTATAGATGGATACATTTCAAATGAGCTGGGAAATCGACTAGTCCCCGGACATAGTATCACAGTCAGTTCCACAGTTCAAGTCTTGAGTTATTTCTTTTCATGAAGCCTTCATGTTTATTTCCTGGCATTCTCTCATTTCTTAAGGAAGTCTCAGACTGCTGTCTTACTTTGTTCTATTACATTTTCTACCTCTAACTACATGAGCCCAAGCATACTTCACGTTAATGCTTATAAGCAATTTATGATTCCTTGTACAGCCAATGTAGAGAAGACAAGATTGACCAGTAAATGAAGGGATTTTTAAATCTTGTTTCACACAGTTTTTGGATTTGACTTACAGTCAACCATAAATATGATTCCGCATCATCTCTTAGGGATGATGAATGCCTTCCAGGTAGTATATTAACCCAAAAACCAGTTTCAGAAATCCTTTGGTGATTGCATAAAACAGGCACATCTTGCCAAGAATTATCCCAAGGTGACTTTAAGTCCTATAATCTTACCTATGAGCGTAGTGCAGGAGTAAATGGTAGAAGAGTTATTTATAATGTATTGAAAGGTTATGACCAGGAAGCCTGAAGTCAGCGTTCCTAGGCTCTACCACTTTTGAACAGTTTTCACTTCTGTAAAATGGGGATGATGATAATGCAACTCATTTCATAGAGTTCTCATGCATGAGGATCAAATGAAACCTGCTACAGGTATAATGCATATCTAGGCTGCTTTCTCAAAGAGGACACCCCAAATATTCTGCAGGCACCAAGATGGCAGCATTTCACAAACAGGAAAGTACTTGGTGGCCAAAATACACATACCTTTCCCAGTGGAAAGGGTGGGTAGCATTAATCCAGAGGGTCCTGAGAGAAATAAGAAATGAATTTTCACCAAGCCATAAGGTTCTTTACTTGAAGTAACAACCTGGTTAGGACTCATTGTTCAGACTTTGGCCCAGAGGGTCCCCCTGCCTCCCCTCCCCCCATCATTGCTTCTGAGAAGTTGGGGATGGCTGTGTAGTCACTTGACACCCCCTGAAAACCACCCCCCATGGAGACCCTTGAAGTACAAGCAGATCTAACTCTGAGATCATACTTCATTCTCATGCCTTGATTTTTGCTTTCCAAGCAAATGCTAGCATTGTTCAAGATGGGAAGCACAATTGTAGGTAATCCCCAAAAGGGGATAATCTCTAAGTAAATGCTGTCCAACTTCAGAATATGTTATGATATGTGAATTGGTTTTTGCTTATTCTTTCCAGCACTGACTAGTATTAAAATGAGCTTACTTTCAGTGAGCTTTCTCCTGCTGTTAGGAGAAAAGCATCCGAAAGTTTGGGGAGCATGGACCAGATAAGCCCAGAACATTGGCTACAGATAATCCTGTGGCACACCGTATCTGTTTACACAGCCCCTGCTGGACCCTTTAGACACAGTCAACAGAAGGGAGAATGGATACTTACCTGTTCTTGTCTTTGTTCTTTTTAGGCAGACAAATTTCAGATGTATGTCACCTACTGTAAAAACAAACCTGATTCCAACCAGCTGATCCTGGAGCATGCAGGCACCTTCTTTGACGTAAGCTATGATTTTCCATTCTTGAGCCATTCAGGCAGGTGGAAATGCTTCATTACCTTGGGATAATAGGTTACTCACTTTGTTCCTCACTTTTCTTTACTGGCCATCCCAAACCTCTATCTCCTGGATAAAGCATGGGGATCAGTGTTTGTCTTTTGTTTAACCCCATTCCAGCCCAAGTGCTATGATTTTTGGACAAGGCATGTTTGCCTCCATGCCTCAACCCCAAACCAAGGTAGCCATAAATCTCATGTGTAGAGGAGCCTGCTGTGATGCAGGGGTTGACTAAGAGATTTCACTTCTCCTTCACATACAGCTCCCTCACATGGAGGGGTCTCAATGTATGGTCCCCAGACCTGCCAAGTCATCATCACCTGAGAGCTTGCTAGACATGCATAGTTTGGACTCCCCCTCCACGTCTATTGAGTCAGAATCTCCAGGGCTAGAGCCCGACCATCTGAGTTTTAGCTCACCCTCCAGGTGACTTTGATGCCCACTCAAGTTTGAGAATCCCTACTCTAATGCAACTGTTTCAGTCTTGGCTACACAGAGAGTCACCTGGGGAGCTTTGAACAATAGTGATTCTGGGTCCCACCTCTGAGGTTCTGTGAGGATTGGCCTGGGTCTGAGCTGGGCATTGAGAGTTTTTAAAGTGGCTGGGGGAGAGTAATGTGCAGCTAAGGTCGAGCACATGTGTGGAATAGAAGCCTGGAGAAGGGTCAGAGCTGACGGGTCTCCTCAGATCCTTTGGTTTTTTAATGAGGAGCCAGTCCTGTTGGTGAATGATGGCACAAGTCTGTGTAGTCTTGGGCCCCAGAAAGTGACCTAAAATGAACAGAGCCAAATGGGTCACTACAGGATGCAAGGGAAGAGCAAGAGGGCGAGAAGAAATGAAGGGGAAAAGGAAGTTCAGTGAGAGGGGGACTGTAGCAGTGATGGCCATTCTGATAGTCATATCACAAGTGACAAAAACTTGAAATTCAGAATGTTTTATCATCTAACTAGAGGCCTGGTACACAAAAATTCATGCACTCGGGGGAGGGGGGGGGGATCCCTCAGCCCGGCCTACACCCTCTCAGGACCCCTCGGGGGATGTCCATCTGCCAGCTTAGGCCCACTCCCCAGGGGATCAGGCCTAATCTGGGAGTCAGACACCCCTCTGGCAGCCCAGGAGCCCTCGGGGGATGTCTTACTGCGGAGGCGGGAGAGGCTTCCACCACCGTCACTGCACTCGCAGCTGTCAGCCCGGCTTGTGGCTGAGCAGAACTCCCACTGTAGAAGTGCACTCACCACCAGGGGGCAGCTCCTGTGTTGAACATCTGCCCGCTGGTGGTCATTGTGCGTCATAGCGACCAATTCCCGGTCATTCTGCCATTATAGTCAATTTGCATATTACCCTTTTATTGCATAGGATCAGTCTGTATTTCTGCCTGCCTGCTTTCCTTCCTTCCATAAATATCTGAATGTCTACTGTATGCCAGATAGTGTGCTGGGCCCCCTGGGGGATACAGACATGTAACTACAGTTCCCATACTCAAGTTTACAGAATAAACCTTCTCTGAGCATCTTTCTAGCCTGACACTGCCGTAACAGAAATGATTCCACAAGGATTTATTGCTCAGTGGAGGAATGACGCTTGAGTGGGAGAAAGCCAGACAAGAAAAAAAGCTTATGTGCTGTTTTAATGGAGCGTTAACATGGAACGGGTTCTAAAGGTCCCAACTGGAATTCCTGAGGTTAGATGTGATAAAACAGAAAATCCAAGCAAAGTGCTTCCCTAACTTGTTGTCAGAGTCTATGGAATGCTTTATGCCATTATCTTTGCTTAATAGTGTGTTTTCCTTAAGATGTTTCTGGTGGACTGTTCATCAACAGTCTCCAGAAGGGCCTTTTTGAAATTGTAAATGCACTGTGTCCTGTCTTCCACTTTGTGTTTTTCTGAGCACAATTGCCCTGTGCTCTGAGCAGGCCGTAAACTGTTCTGCTTTCTTACCTTTGCTCACGCTGCTTTCTCTGCCTAAAATGGACTGTGATCCCTCTTTGCACATAGGCATGCTCTGTGTGCACACCACACACAGTCACTGTTCAGAATTCTTCATTTATTTTAAAGGTCACATGTTGCTTTCTGCAGGAATCCTTCCCTTCCTCTATGCGTACATGATATTTTGTGTCTCTCGTATTGCTTTTGTAATGATTTGCTTTTTGGCAGGTTAACAATGTGCCTTTCCATTACTCATACCTCCCCCAACTGTGAGCCCCTTGAAGCTGACTAATGGTTTGCCTGCTTCACTTTGTATACATCACAGATTCTGGTGCTAAACTGTATTTTCTTTTAGTCCTACATTCCTCATATTCCTGTTTCTAGCCAATTTCGGGACTTTGTCTAATAAGTCATTCCCCAAATCTTGCACCCTATCCTCCATTTCCCAGTTAGTTCCTAATTAGCCTCTACCTTAGCTGGGAAGGCCAATGGAAGCCAGAACTCCAGTCTGTGGGAGTTCCCAGAGCTGGTCCTGGAGGTGGAGAGAGACAGCAGTAAACTCTCCTGATTGTTCCCAACGCTTTCTGGAAAGCATCATTTTTGCAACTTTTTTCCCAATCCATCAGAAGGGTTTCCCTAAGTTCTACAGGTAGGAACCATCTGCTTTAGGCCCTCATTCTATAAAAGAGATAAACCCTTAATAAAGGCGGTCTCTTAGCACCCATTATTATAATGAGAACAAAGAAAATTGAAGTCCTGGAAAGGATCCCACATTCACATGATCCAGAATTTTCTACTCCAGATGTGAGGCAACCCTTTTCTCGCTGCTACACAGGCAGCCTTCCCAGAGCTGGGTGTCTTGTCAGAGAGGGAAGACTGTCAGGTACATTATTGCCCGTGCTATCTGCCAAGGCCCCAGATTAACTCACAATGTTCATTTGCCCAAGGAGAGTCAGGCAGCCAGCTGTTTTGCCCATCATCCTTGAACAAGTCCTGCTATGACTACACACCTATAGGGAAGAAGCAAATGAGTGAGCACATTGCTACTTTCTGGAGTAAATGGCAGGAAATGGAATAATTTATTTTTATCATTCCCTCTTCTTCACCCTCCTCCATGGCCACATAGCAGGCCCTAACTTTCAGTGTTTCTTTTATTCCTCCTAAAACTGTGTTTTCACTAATCTTAGCTATGGCAAGCTCCCATGTTACACAACTGGAGATATAGGTATTAATAGGCATTAACTATATATCATGGCTTTAGTATACTCACAGATGTGTGCAACCATCCCCACAGTCAGTGTTAGAATTTTTATATCATCCCAAAAAGCAGTCACCCCCCAGGCCTAAGCAACCAATGACCTGTTTTTTTATCTCTTTAAACTTGCCTATTTGGATATTTCATAAAAGTGGATCAGATAATATGTGTTCTGTTGTGACTATTTTCCCATACCATGATGTTTTCAAGGTTCATCCACGCTGTAGCATGTCTTAGTACTTCGTTCCTTTTTACGGCTGAGGAGTATTTCATTGTACAAATACACCACATTCCGTTTCTCCATTCATCAGTTGGTTGACATTTGGATTGTACTCTCCTTTTCCATATTATTAATAATACTGCTGTAAACGTTGCATGCAAGTTTTTGTGTGGACATATGTTCTCATTTATCTTGGGTATACAGGGTGGGGCAAAAGTAGGTTGTTCATAGTAATAGTTGTCCATATGGAAAATAATACAATAATAAATAATAACACCAGGATAAACTCTGTGTTTTGAGTACTGACAACTGTAAGCCTCCTTTTGCCCACCCTGGATACCGAGGTGTGGAATTGCTGGATCATGTGGTAACTTTATGTTTGCACTAAGGCTTGTGCAGTAACCTCAGTCTCCCTGTCTCTCTTTCCCAACCTCCACCCCCTGTGTTGCTCGTAGGCTTCCATTACTCTTTCTGAAGCATTGCTTCCACCACAGTTTCCTTCCATGTAATGTCCACAGTGCTTTACATTGAGAAGCTCACCATCAAATCCTAATGCTTTATTCTAGCTCAACCTCACCAATGCCCTAAAAGCATCTTGCTTATCTAGCTGTATTTTTCACTTTTTCTAGAATCTAGGTGTGCACCCTCTGTACCGCTCAGGCATGGTCCTCATTGTCATCTAAATACATAACGCTTATTCCCTGTGCATGTGGCTGTATATATTCCCTGTTTGTTGAGTACCATTCCTCCAACTTCCCACTTCACCACCCCTCCCTGTCCTCTAAGCCCCAGTGAAGGCGTTATCTGTACAATCACTCCTGGGGGCAAGGCCTCCTCTCTGGTCTTCCTGGCAGTAGCCAGTGAGAAGTCTTTCTGTCATCCTTGGTTGCTCTCTCTTTCATGTGTGTGTGTCTTATCAGCTAGCTAGCATAGAGGTTCTTCAGGGAAGGGACTAAAATTCACCCTTCTCTAATTTTCATAGCACCTAGACCCTGGGGAATAGATCCTTTTGGAGGTAGGAGAGAGAGAGGACTAACATGAGAACTAGAGGCATGAACAGCTGGGAGCCATGGTCACAGCCTGGGCATGAAGGATGTGGACAGTGTGGCCAGGGAAGATCATCCTCCCCAGGGGTCAGGGATCACAGAGGGAAAAACGCTGGAAATGACCCCATGGTTTCCAGCTCAGCAGACCTGAAGAATGAGGGGAGTCCCTACCATTGATCACAGTGGACAAGGAAAAGTGGTGATTCTAGGGTGGGATGTGTGAAATCTGAAGAGAGGAGAAATGGGAAGTGAGATCTGTCCTGTGCAGTTCTAAGAGGGAGACCGCAGGCCGACAAAGACTCGGGAGCCGTCAGAACAGAAACCAGAGCTCACTCTCTGCCTTCCCTTCATTCTCACCTTCCTTTCATCCCCCTCTCAGGTCCTCCATTCTGAGTTTATTTCCTTCACTTCCACATCTTCCCCTCTCCTTTACCCTTCCGCCCGTTATTTACCTTATCACTTCCTCTACCTTTGTCTGTATTTCTTAAGTTCCGTTTGTTTCACAAATCTGCCTTCTTTCCCTAAAGTTTCTCCCCTTTTGCCATCTATCCTCTTGGTTTCTATTTCTACATGCACCTTAGTCTCTCATCCCCTTTCCCCATCAAAGAAGTTTCTCATAATTGCCACCTTTTCTCCTTTCGCCTCTGTTATTACCCCACCTGCCTCCTGCCCAGAACACACATGCACATGCCCCTCCATGTCTGATGGTGCTTGTTTCCATCCTGTAGGAGATACAGCAGCGGCACGGTCTGGCCAACTCCATCTCTTCCTACCTGATCAAGCCCGTCCAGAGGATCACCAAGTACCAACTGCTCCTGAAGGTACTTCCCCTGCCCTTGGTGTCTCCCCCTACCCCCTGCCAGGCCCAGGGGGTCCGGCTTTGTCAAGGATGGGAGAGCTTCCACCTGAAGGCCTTTCCTCTGCCCAGACCAGAACTTGAGCGATAAGCCCATGCTTGCATCGCTGGCTCCAGTCTGCATGTCCCATCCCTTCAAATTCCAGAAGCTCATTCACTGGGGGAAAGAGGGGAACTGGGAGCAGGAACAGGAGTGACTGTTTTCCCACCTACCCACCACTGCATCACTTTGCGTGATTGCCACCCCAGCCACTGGCTGGTAGGTAAAGCCTCCCCTGTCCCTGCCTCCTGGGGCAGATTCCCCCTCGTGGCCCCTGCTTCCAACAAGATCAGGGGCCAGGGTCTTAGGGGCAGTGCCAGCCTGCGTGGGCATGGAGACCCAGGGCAGTACTTGCCATTGCCATAATCTCTGGTTTGTCAGACTAAAGGTTTTTGAGGGAAAGTAGTTGATCAAAGAGTGCCTATTCAAACCACAATGACACTCGGTGTCTGTAGGATCCCATATATTAGAGGTTCTCCTGGAGCCAACCAAGAGATTAGGGTTTCCTCCAAAACGTTTTCTTTAAAAGTCAAATAAAATGATGTAAACTACTAAGTAGTTTGGGCTGCTGCTTCTCAGAGAAGGAGGCTGTGCTGACAATCTGAAAATATGACATTTCCCCACAGAAAGCCCGGGAAATTGATATCATAGGCAGTTATATAACGACTGTCTATCCAAATTCTTAAGATGTGTAAGTGCAGTCTTCCCTAAGTTTGAATATTTTGCCAGTTGTTCCTCAAATGCAAAGGATAGTGAGAGGGCATGTTATAAGTGGTATAGTTCCAGAGAAAATGTAATGAAATTCAGCTCATGTTTAGCAATTCAGCTCCTGCTTGCAGAATCTCACATATTCTGGCTGCACAAACCCTGAAAACCAGCCTAGTTTCCAATCTGGGTTTCTATTCATGTTAGAGAGTGTGCCTACCGGTCGGGTCTGTGGTCTCCCTGGCTCAGCACGTGTGGTTCCAGGATGAGCAGAGTGGGGGCAGCAGTGAGCCTGGGCCTTGGACCTCTCTTCCCGCTAGGGGCCAGGGCAGGGCCATGCACCATCCTTCCCCTGCAGCCTCCTCCTTCAAACCTCCTTCCTGTCTTCAAGAAGAGACTATGGGCTGCTGCTCCCAGGCGCCCTAGTCATCCGACTCTGCAGAGATGACTTAGAGAATTACACTCGGCATCCTGTCCATGGCCTTTGCCGAGGGCTAGTGTCAGAAATAGCAATGGGCAGGACATCTCGGCTGTTTGGGCAGAACTACTGTTGAAGCTGTCATCCTCTTTACGTTTTGGCGTTTCTAATATGAAGACCCAGAATTTCCCATAAGATCTCAGGGTGGGGCTCGCAGGGGGCGGGGCAGCTCTCTCCTGAAAGACCGGAGTGCTTTCTACCTTTAGGTCCTCTGGTCCTCTGACTGCCAGAGAGTTAGCGTTGAGTTCTGCGGTTACTCACGGTAGTTTCTCCTTAGCCCAGATTTCTGTGTGTAATTCTCCTCCCTTTTTCCTCTCCCACAGAATGGTTTTCCTTATGCCAAAAGGTTTTTTAAATTTATTTTTGTGTTGTTGTTGTTTTAAATTTAAGTCTCCCCAAGCCTTTTCAGGAATTGGGGGTGGGGGGATTAACTCCCACATCGACACTGACAGTGTCTTAAATCAGTTAAGATGCAGTTCTAAGAGAAAGACAGCTTTTCACCTCTCCCTTTTAAACCCATAAGGCTGAGGTTCCGGGGATTAATTCTGTGACAGGGAGGAAGTGGGGAGTGGATGGCTGTCCTGTGTCTCGCTTTAGGCAGATGGAGGGTGGGCTCTGGGCTTTCATTCTGTCTTGAATGTTTTAGGAAGACATGACTGTGTACGTAACTGAGATGGGGAAAAATAAAGTCATGGGAATTTGGTTGTGGAGAAGTGGTAGAGTTATTGGAAAAAACATTTAAGATAATTTCGGCCTCTTTTAAATGTGCTGGTAGCATAATGCCTGCCAAGTAAAAGAAAAATAGTTTGCTGAGCTTTTCCTATAAATAAATAACATGGGATTTATTTTCTCATTAAAGTCAGTTTTATTCCAAATAAATTGATATTTAATTATCAGTATCCTCTGGGGTTCCTCACTTTAGGTGTTACGTGAAAGTAAAAACTATATATCAGTTTGAATGTTCAATATTCTCTGTGCAAATCTGCTGCAACTGTCCTTTGGGGTGTAAATGAAATGTGGAGTCTTCTCCTTATCATAAACTATCGCCAGGATCTGAGTAGAACTTATTGGCTCTGCTGGGTGATTAGTAGGTTTGCCAAATTGCTTTGGGAATTAAACTAATTGGTGTTTTCTGTTGTGAACTGAAGTATATTTCTTATTTCTCTCTTATGTTTCTGCCTAGAAGTTCCTTTTGATGATGTGTGAAAACAAGGGTGGGCGGGTTAGAATAAGGAAAGTGGTGGGGAGAGTCAGAGAAGTTCAGGTTGGGGGAGGAAAACCAACTTTGTGAACAATGATGCCATTATACTGAGTGGTACCAAGGACAGAGCTGAGAAGTGGTCCCTTCTACCTCCCAAACATGTGCTCTGGGCAGTTCACCTCTTCTGTGGGCACGCAAAGCTCCCTTCTTCATGTGGAATGTGTCCAAGATAACACAAAGGATTGGATTTTCATACCAGATGTTCACTAATTGGATATCTTACCAAGTGCACTTTGACCAGCAATAGACGGCATATATGACAGTGGTCCCATGAGATTATAATGGAGCTTAAAAAATTCCCAACACCTAGCAATGTCGTAGCCATCATAATGTGGTAGCACAACGCATTGTGCATGTGCTGTGGTGATGCTGGTGTGAACAAGCCTACTGCACTGCCAGTCATATAAAAGTACAGCACATACAGTTATGTACAGTACATAACACCTGGTAATGATAATAAATGACTCTTACTGGTTCATGCATTTACTATTCTTTTATTATTTTAGAGTGTACTCTTTCTACTTCTAAAAAAAGTTTCCTGCAAAACAGTATCTGTGTTATCCTGGCAGCAGGTTCATATACATCATGTTTACCTCTTCTCTTGATTGCAGCATTTTCTCTTGTGCTTGGTTTAGTCTCATATCATTTTATATAGTGACATGCTTCCCAGGCTTGTAGCCTAGGAGTAATAGGCTAGCCCGTCCAGGTTTCTGTTAATGCACTCTATGATATTCACACAATGACAAAATCCCCTAATCACACATTTCTCTGAACGTATCCCCATAGTTAAGTGGTGCATGGTTGTAGTTCCAAGGATACAAATAATCTTAGGGCAGAGGTAAAAGAGAGAGAAGTCTGGGACTGCCAGCAGTTCCAAGTTCCTTCTGGCAGTATCAGGATGTGCTGGGACCTGGATCAACATACAAGGTTTCCAAATTATGTATTATATCACCTACCCTGAAGAGAGCCATTTTGGTCATGAAGTGTACCCACCTTTTACTTAAATACTTGTATAGCTTACATGATACTTTCCAGGGAGCCATGCCCATAGAGCCCCAGATTCCAGGTATATTTACCATAAGATGTCCTGGATCAATAAGCCACATCTATTCTACTAAAGGCATTCCAGAGCAAGTGTCATTCATTTATTTGCTAGAAAGTCTGTAGTTCACATGTTTACAAGACTTGATCTGCTCAACTTCTTTCTTTCCTGAAAGTGCATCCCCACCCATCCACCCATCCCCTGCCTCCCCCCACCCTCAACTCCCCAAGGAGACAGTATGGAATGCAGATCTGTTGCTTAACTGTTTCCTTCCCAGGGTCAAAGTGAGCAAGATACAATAAGCCTGATAAGAAAAATCAAAGCCAGCATTTTTCTGATTTGGCCAAAATCATTGCAAATGGTCTTTATGATTCCTAGGATAGTTGGAAATTAGCTTTTCTCCATCAACCAAATACTCTGTATCTTTTATAGGGATGGCAATGACCTAGTTTCCAGTGAGGAGGTAAAAGAGAGGGCGGCTCCGGCAAGTCTCAGTGTGGTGGAGGACATGGAGGAGACAGGGTTGGCGTGGTGGACGCACCACTGGACTTGGATTTAAGAAACCTGGATTCAGTCCCCTGCATTACTTTACCTCCAATGAATTCTGTAACCTGGGGAGAATCTCTATGCCCCTTAATCAGGTTCCTCATCTGACAATGAAAGGACTAGGACAGAATCCCATCTGTTGGCCCCAGGTTAGGAACTCCTGAGCCGTAGGATCTAAAAATCTTTTCTAACTCTGAAATGCCATAAACCTAAATGTCTGTAGCCCCAGCTTGCTCCCAGCACGATGGGAGTCAGCATTCAGGCAGTAGAGGTGTGTGCACGCGAGTACAGGTGACAAATGAATGCTGAGCCTTCTTTGCATACCCTTGTCTTCTCTTCATGATTCCACAGGACTGCGCCTCTGTTCCTGTGCTTTGCAAGGGGCATTCTCTTCTCCAGGAGGGCAGTCAAGTGTCAGAGAACACCCTCCCATTTGGGTTGAATTGAGTTAGTTTGGATGAGATTGGGCTGAGAGAGCTCAGTTGGGGGGGAAAACTGTGGTTGAATTCTTTGGAGCTAATCCCATCCCACCTCACCGCACTTCCCTTATAGCTAGAGGGAGCCATTGTAGAGACTGACTCTGTGTGTAATTGCCTGAATGGGTTTGGTGCTGAGAGAGTGGGGAAGCTGGGGGAGATGGTTCTAATTGCGTTTGGACTTTTCCCCCAGGAACTTTTAACTTGCTGTGAAGAAGGGAAGGGGGAGCTCAAGGATGGCCTGGAGGTGATGCTCAGTGTCCCGAAGAAAGCCAATGACGCCATGCATGTCAGCATGCTGGAAGGTAGCTGTCCTCCCGGCCTCCCGGGGGAGCCCCTCCTTTCTTAAGACCAGAGAGCTTGTATCATGGGAGGGAAGAGGCATGAAGTCAGGCCAGGGGCAAGGCCAGAAGAGAGGAGGAATGGCAAGTTGTTGCCTAGGTCCTCAGGCGGTGTGCAAGGGGCTCCACGGGATCCAGCTCAGCTAACACCTGCCTCTAGGTAGGACCAGCCTGGCCATTTCAGGTATGTGGACGGCTTGCTGCCTGTGAGATAGTCTAGGACAGGCCATCACCTTTACTGCAGGAGGGCTACAGCCCTGACCCATAGCAGTCCTGTTCATCTACATTCCCCTCAAGAACAGTTTCCTCATCTGACAATCCCATCTGCTGGCCCCGGATTGCATTGCATTTGTCAGAAGAATAAGTAGAAATCCTGCAGGCATGAAGATACACACACACTCACACACACACACAATGTCTTCAGCCCAATGCCCTTCTCCTTTTTTTGTAGTAAAAGATACATAACCTAAGGTTTACCATTATAACCAATTTTAAGTGTACAGTTCAGTGACATTAAGTACATTCACATTGGTGTGCAGTTATACTTACGCCGTTCCTAGCTGGTGGGAAAAGTTCAGCCAGGTAAACCTGGTAGGACTTCACCAACGTACATTCAGTCCCCTGGAACCATGTCTTGTCTTGGGATCCAGAAACCTGGCAGAGTGAGGCTCCAATAAAGTGCTCTTAACACTGCAAAACAGATGGGCAGAGCAGCCAGATTGGGGTGGAAGTTCTTAGATGAGTCGACTCATCCCAGTCAGGGCTGGCAAACAGGTGTGGAGGGAGAAAGCATACTTTGTTGTATATACGTAAACCTGTGGGCTCCTTCTCCCCTATCACCCCACCCCCACCCCCCACCATCTAAAACACTTGGTCTGGTCTCAATACTTCTAGGTCACCTTTAGCAAGGAAGCCCCATTTCTACATGCAAAGGAGCCCTGGTTACCTTCTCCAGACTAAGCACTAGCCATCTGAATATATTCCTATTGTCACAGTTTCTCCACCCCTTTCTTTGTGTTTGCACCTCCCCCCATCCTGGGGTGTCCCCTTCTCCTCTAGCCTTTCCCCAACCTTTACTCTGGACCTAGCTACTCCAAGTATGGTCTGTGGACCAGCACCCGCAGCACCTGTGAGCTTATCCAAAGTGCAAATTCATGAGCTCCACCCCACACCTACTGAATCCCACCCTCTTAGGGGGTGAGCGATGGGCAGCAATCTGTGTTCTCACAAGCTGTCTGGGTGATCTGTATACACAGTAAAGTTTCAAAACCTCTGTTAAAGATTTAAAGTGGTATAAATACAAATTTCTGAAGGATTATGCACCACCCTGTATAAGAGCAATCAAAGGCAATAGTCCTAGGAATGGACTATGAGAACTAGAGCCACACCAAGTCAAGTGGAGTCAAGGGCACCTGATTGGGCAGTGCGTGTGCTCAGCCCCACTCTGAGCTCGAGGCGGGGCAGTGGGAGCTGTGGGTTCGCCCTTGCAAGAGGTCCCAGGTGACAGCGGAGCTGTGGGAGGTTGCACAGGAGCTTTGCAGGAGATTCCCCGAGTCCTGGTTACGTGTGGGAGAGCTGGTGCAGAGGGGGGCCTGATTACAGTTCTGAAGAGCTGTCCACTCATGTGCTCAGGTGTCTCGGGAACCAGCGAGAGAGAAAGCGCAGTGGAGCTGAGGGCTCACAGCCAGGGAAGCCTTTCTCCGTGAGGGTGGAGCATGGCACCCTGAACGTGGCGCTAGAGAAACTCCGCAGGGTGAAATGGGTGTTTTTCAGGGTTCGACGAGAACCTGGACGTGCAGGGGGAGCTGATCCTCCAGGACGCCTTCCAAGTGTGGGACCCCAAGTCTCTGATCCGGAAGGGGCGGGAGCGGCACTTGTTCCTCTTTGAGATCTCCTTGGTTTTTAGCAAGGAGATCAAAGACTCTTCAGGACACACGAAATATGTTTACAAGAACAAGCTACTGGTAGGTGGGGAACGACAAGGCTCCCTGTTGTCATAGAGCCCTGGGGCAGGAAGGGATCTCGAACCCTTGCTCATCTCTCCCCCCCCCCCCCCCCAGCGCCACACCAGAGTCGTCCTGGACAAATGAAAGTGCCTCCTATTTGAAAAGCTCTCCCTCCGACTCCCACCTCTGCATTTTACAGTCCACGGTTCTTCTTCCTGTTGCTTTCATCGCCTCCCTCTTCACCTTCCCTCTCCGCTACCTGCTAATCAGGCGCAAGCCTGTAGGTCCTTTCTTTCCAGGTAGATGAACAAAACGCCCAGTCTATTTGAGTTTGATTGACAAAAGCCCCTTCCTCGGCCCTCTCTTCTTTGTTGCCTTTCCACCCCAGCCCTGAGTTTCCCCACTGCCCTCCCCTCCCCACTTCTCACAGGCATTTCCTGTCTACAGACCTCAGAGCTGGGTGTGACGGAGCACGTAGAGGGGGACCCCTGCAAATTCGCCTTGTGGTCTGGGCGCACCCCGTCCTCCGACAATAAAACCGTGCTGAAAGTGAGTACTGCCCTCTGCTGGGCTCAAGACCAGGGTTGGGGTGGGAGGAATGTGGGACTCTTAAACCTACAGTGAGGCCAGCTGACCACAGGTCTGCCTGGAGAAGGGCAGCATCACATGGGGGTTGAGAAGCAAATTCTGTCCTGAAAGTAGACTCAACACCTCAAAGATTGGCGGGCTCCTAGTCCGTGCACCCGAAGGCAGGGTGTGGGCTCCTGGGCTTCCTCAACCGGGGCCACTAAAGATGCTCTGTCCTGTGTCCCCTTCAAGTGTCCAGGGCAACAGGTGACCCTTTGACAAAAGTCACCTTGATTTGCTCCACATTCATTTAACATTTTTTTCTGAGAACCTTGTCCATGTAAGGCAGTGGTTCTCAACCTGTGGGTCGCGACCCCTTTGGCCGTCGAACAACCCTTTCACAGGGCTCGCCTAAGACCATCCTGCATATCAGATATTTACATTACAATTCATAACAGTAGCAACATTACAGTTATGAAGTAGCAACAAAAATAATTTTATGGTTGGGTCACAACATGAGGAACTGTATTTAAAGGGCCAGAAGGTTGAGAACCACTGATGTAAGGTGTTCTGCTCAGGGCTGTGCAGGGCAGTATGTGTAAGGCATGGGCCCTTCCTGGGAACATGCACTCTAGAAGCTCTAGTGAGTTGTAGAGCATGAGAACAATGCTGATCGAGAGGAATGATAAGAAAGGGCCTTCCCCCCAGACGATGGCCATGAGTCATGTCAGCTCCGCAGGGCACGCGCACGGGGGGATTCAGGGCTTGTGGAAATGTTGGTCTCACTGGGAAGAGGTGCTGCCCGTGGGCCCCCACCAGCCATGTGCTCACCTGGCAGTGCCCGTCGCTGAATTGCCAGCACAGCTGCTGCCTGTCGTGAGACAGAATGACCTGAACAAGTTCCACAGAGACAAGTGGGATTGGTGGGAGGGGGTGACACCTCCAATGAGCACGTTTCCAGGCTAAGAACCCAGGACCAACTTGCAGCCCCCACAGCCCGCGTGGCCACCCTGGGTGCTGAACGTCCTGAGCATTATCTGTTCCTGTTGGTTGTTAACCACTGCCTTCAGGTGCCCGCTTGCTGCCTCTCCCAGTGCTCCCAGACCTCCCGAGTCACTGAAGTGTTTGTTCATCCTTGGCCCAGGGGACCTCCAGGTACTGCCCCCGCCTCAGGGCAGATAGCAGTATTGGTCAACACCTTGCAGGTCATAAATACTTAGAACTCACCCTGCACCCGTCTCCATTGCGTCTTGAGGTCATAGCCCTGCTTTAGTTGGAGCAGCCCTGCTCTCGTTGGGGCAGCATGGCCCTGGGACTGAAGAGTCCTGAGAATAAAAGGAGATATAAGCCCCTCAAACATTCAGTGTCAAACATAATGGATGTGGCCTGCAAGAGGAGGGCCTGCAGGAGGAGGGCTGCAAGAGGCGGGCTGAGCACTGCTTGGGCAGGAAGGAGGGAGATGGGTGCTGACTCTCTCTCCCTGTGGCACTCCAGGCCTCCAACATAGAAACCAAGCAGGAGTGGATCAAGAACATACGGGAGGTGATTCAAGAAAGGATCATTCACCTGAAAGGAGCTTTAAAGGAGCCCATCCAGCTCCCCAAAACACCAGCCAAACTGAGGAACAATAGTAAGAGGTAACCAGCGTCTCCCTGCCTCCTGGTGCTCCCAGTCCTGCTTCTGGGGTGGGGGAGGGGTAGAGCTTTGCCTCCACAGGGGATGTGCTCTGGAGGGGGCTTCCTGCATGAACCCTAGGAGTTCTCCCTGAGATGAGTTAGCTCTCCTAAGCATCTTGCCAGAGACTGGCAGTTCCCTTCAGCAGGCTGCGGTGAGCACTCTCATTTGGCAGATACTCTGCAAGGTGCTACAGGAAAATAAAAGCAAGTGTGAGATGAGCCATTCTATACAGAGCCATCTAACAGGCACGTCTCACACATGACAGAGAGACAAAGGAACTGTGGGAAATGGGGACGGTACCTGAGCACTGCAGTGGGGTGTTGGGAAGGCTTTGGGTGGGAGGTGGAGCTGGGCCATGAGTGGGGAACTCCGGGCTTGTTAGACAGTAAAAGGGCTTTGTGTGATGTAATGCAGGGGGTGGTATGATGGGGTTATCATTGCAGCTCTTACTGCCACACCCCCGGAGTCCTCACCTCTATTCATCTGAGAAGAGCAATGTGATCGGGCAGAAGATGACAGATGTTTTTGTACCTTCGTCTGTCTGAATCCCAGTTTCCCTTAGCCAGGGATGGGGAGCCTTTTTTTCTGCCAAAACCCATTTGGATATTTATAACATCATTCACAGGCCATACAAAATTATCAACTTAAAAATTAGCCTGCTATTTTTGGTCAAACATTTAATTAACTTACCCCTAATACGTTGGCAAGGCCAGACCAAATGATTACGGGAGCCTTATATGGCCCTTAGGCCAGACGTTCCCCACCCCCCTGCCTTAAACCAATGGGCGACTTCTTAAGTATTTCTTTCTCAAGTCCCCATGTGACATCACCTACAAGGACTCTTTTGGAGGGTGCTTAAAAAAAAAGTATACAAAAACAGCAGCCCTGTAGGTTGCTTGGTGTAAAAGAAAGACAAAGATTTTTTTTAAATTGAAAATTCTCTAAGTGCGGCCTGGAAGTTACTCTGGAAGAAAATAAAGAGAGGTTTCCTTCAAGCATCTGAGGGACTATAATTAAAAATCAATATATTAGGCCTAATATAAAAAGGTAAATAATTTGTGTTTTTGCCTCTCTGTATATGGCTAGTATAAAGTTACTCAAAGACTAATAGCAGAAATTTAATTAGTGTCATTTACTGTCCATAACGTAGGACAAGTAAAGTTAAAAAATAATAATAAAAATAAGCTTTATTTCAGAGTAATTTAAAATGGGCTAATTGAAAGAAGTGAATATTCAAGAACTTAATTGTACCAGGCAGGAAACTGTTCCTAAAACATTAACTCATTTTTTATTGATAATTCAACTCATAGTAAAATTGCTTAACATGCAATGAAATCCAATACAGTCATATTTCTGAACAGAAAAATTAAAAGTTATCAAGACTGCATTGTAAAAATTTCCAAAAGTCTCCTAATATTTAAATTAAAAAAAAAAAAGTATACAAGAACATCATGGGGGTGGGGGAGACAAAACAAAAGCCAGAGATCTGGTGGTGAGGGTCACTGGCTCTCCTCTCCTCCCCTATTCATGAATGGAATAAATCCCAAAGATTTATTTGATGCTTTGGTGCCAACCAGGACACCCAGGCTGGAGTGCCCCTGCCGGGCCTAGGGAATAGCAGCATTCGTCCGGAGGGAGGTGGCAGCTGAAAGGAGGGTGTGACGAAGCTCGAGAGAGATACCTCCATGGAAAGCCCCTCGACCTACATGGCCAGGACACAGCCACCTCGCTGTGCTGGAGGACAGATCAGGACTGTGGTGGGGGGAAGGTTATTTTGATTTCAGTTACCTTTGTCCAGAGTCCAGGTGAGGGATAGACTTATACTCTAGAGACAGGCCCTGCTGTAGGAAAGCCCTACTTTTAATAAGAAGATAGAATGGAAATGGCCATAAAGAGCTGAATGTCCAGGACCATGGTGGGCAGGGCCATTCAGGGGGACTCCGTGAGAGAACCCCTCTTTCCTGCAGTAGGAGAGTGGGCATCTCTGGAACATGGGGTGGCATATCCTGGAAATGCCATCCCCTGTTCCCTGTCCGTGTTCTGTGATGAGACCGGGAGAAACCTCAGCACACCCTGCAGAGGAGAGCCAGGCAATCTGTGTTTTCTGGGTGTGGGGACAGAGTTGATGGAGGAGCAGGTTGGCCTGGGAAATACAACCCACACTCCTGGATGGGCTCCCTCCCTCCCCCAGAGCTGGCTTCGTCTGGAGGGGCCAGCCTGCGATGGGCCAGAAAGTGGGAAGCAGAAAACACAGCCAGCTCTTAACTCTCCACAAGTGGTGGGCGCAGTGGCCGAAAATCTACAACAGATGATCTGAAGGTCCTTTATTTTTTGTTTTGAAATGCATCCCATCATTTCTTTTTACAGCAGATTTTCCTTCCTATAAATGTGTGGCTGGCTTATGTTATTAAAAATAAGTTGGCATTTTCCAAGTCCACAAGGAGTGGTAAAAGAGCAGTCGACTTAGAAATAACTTTTTATGACTAACGGACGCCATGTGTATACCTGTGCATCACATGTATGCCCACATGCACACACATGTCCACATAGACTCACCATTGTCATGTTGAGGCAGCTTCGGTATATGGGGGTTTTGCCCACATGGTACCTTTCTCAGACAGCGAGTTCCCCTTGTCCCTAATGCCATAACTTCTCCGTAAGCAGCAGTGGGGCTGTGACATTCCTAAAAACCTCCATGGGAAGAGCTGTCATTGCCTCTGCTAACCTAGCCAACCCCTGGCCCACATCTTCTCCAGTTTTTTTCTGACACAAACCATTTAGCCTTCACCAGTTCCCAAGCATCTAATTCCCTTGGCCTGGCTCTGGGTTCAGTGCAGGATTGGGTCACAGTTCTGAAGCTGGAGAGTTGAGGGAGCATGCGGGATCGTGGTATGGTCCAGGGGACAGGAAGGGGTCTGGGTGCCAGGAGTACACTTGGGAGCCTGTCTTATCTGACGCTAAGGAGCACAGCTGTCTCAAAAGCTGCTGTGGAATCTGTGGCTGTGCTCCTATCTCTGAGAAGATGCCTTGGCCTCCTGTGTTTATAAGAAGTCGTCATAAATAAGCAGGAGATCAACGAGACCCACCAAAACGAAGGCAGTAAACTCCTCCATACCCAGGAGTTGAGGGTCCAACATCAGGAACTTCCCAAAGATCATCTCCGTGGAGAAAATATCCCACTCCAGTTTCTGGAGCAGACGAAACACAAGTCAAAACAGTATCTTATCGGTTCTGTTTTCTCTGTAGGCCAGCTAGAAACCATCCCCCGCCACTACAGGATGCAGAAAAGCCCTGTGAATACCCTGAGTTCTGGGATTGTGGGTGATGGCCCAGTCAGCTGGATAGGATGTGCCTAAGTAGGATGTGACTCTTCCAGTGCCTACTACAGACCCATTCCCACTAGAAGCAAATAAACAGTTGCTCCCTCTGCATCATGGCCCAGAGGAGTTTTGGAGAAGAAGTCATGTTCAGTTATCAACAGAGTGATTATGTGTTTATTAAGTACAAGCGGTTACATCACTGGAAATCCCACAGGGCTGCTCCCTGCAGGGGGATAACTGTAGACAAATCCCTGCCAGAAAGTGCCTGGGCCCTGCTCTGCCAGCCCAGCTGGAAATCCTGTGGCTCTACACCCACAGCGGTTCCCCCCACCCCCACCCCTGTTTTTTTTCTCTTCTTCCTGCAGGGATGGCGTGGAGGATGGTGACAGCCAGGGGGATGGGAGCAGCCAGCCAGATACCATCTCCATTGCCTCCAGGACCTCTCAGAACACAGTGGACAGTGACAAGGTAGGACAGCGCCCCCACCTTCCTCCCCCCTAAGACTTCTCGTTGGCTGAGCCACCCTGGAGAGTTACCCCCAAAGGAACTTCTCCCCCTGAGGAGCCTGACCTCAGGAGCTGGTGGTCTCTTGGTAGGGCTGCAGGAGGTGTGTCATGTGGAGATCTTGTCTGAGGGGACAGAGATCGGGTGGTCAGCCAGGCCTCTCGTGTTGCGAGAGTGCAGCAGAGGTGGCAAGGGTGAGGAGCGAGGGTCTCTGCATCTCTCTCCTGTGAGGTGTCCCCTGGCTGCTGGGGCTGCTCGGCCTCCTGGGAAGCTGGGCTCAGGGAGCTGAGGCTGGCACAGTTTCTAGAGACCTTAGAGGCTGTGACTGACTCATATTGACAATGATTTGAATGGGCTCGCCTCAGAGTTAGACCAAGACCAGTGATTTGGGAAATGGCCACCGAGATGCTGATTGGTGGGAGCCTCCTGTCTGATAGGGCTCCCCCCGGGGGAATGATGCCTTCCTCTGCCCAGATATTGGGGCTCAGTTCCTGAGAGGCGGAGGGCCAGGAAGTGGGTATGAAGCAGCATGCAGGGACGTGGTAGTCTTGTGGGAAAGCCTGGTCCCTTGCTCTCTTACATTTGGGAGCAAATAAACAAAGGTTAGGAGCTCTCACGGGGAGCAGAAGGAAGGAGACTGTAGCCAAGACTCAGTGCATTTGCTCAGCTGGGGAAGAAGAAGTCAACGGGCTGAGTTTGCAGCAGGGACACGGCGAGGTTTCCTCTGACCCTACTCTCACTCGCTTACCTCGGGGTCAGGAGCGTGTGAGATGACCTTGTGTTGCACGTTAGTGATTTTGTTAGGAAGGCATGGATCTGCAAGACCCTTCGGCCCTAGAGACCTAGTATTTTGGCGTAGTCGGTCCAGCTCAGGCAACAGGCTGTGTCCCTGCTTCATTTTAGTTTTCCAAGTTATGGGTATATTTTTTTAAAGATGACCTGTATTCATTTTTCCTAATTTTTTTTTTTCCCTACTGGGGGAAAAGAACTTTGCCCCCAAACCTCCTAAGATCACGGTGCTAAATCACACTCTAGACTAGTGTTCAAGGACCTTCAAGGTGATTCTGACTGGCATTCTGCCTTCAAGTTACTAAGCCATTTTGACTATCAGAGTGAACGGAAAGTTGTTTTTTTCCACTTTGTAAAAACATACAAGAAAACTATTTCTGTACTTTCCTTTTTCCTCTGATCTGTTGTTTAGAAATACTACCTAGAATATCCTGTGAAGGTACGTGCTGCTGTTTAAGCAGTCCGTGGGTGGTGTGTGCAGCGCAGCGTTTCCCATGTGCAGACGTAGCCTGTTAGTTCCCTGGTGCAGGGAGTTCATCCCCTCCTGCCGCTGCTGCTGCTGCTGCCGTCCCCCAGCCCTGACCCACACAGACCCTTCCACAGAGCGGTGAGCCCTAGGAAGAGTGGGCTCAGCCATCCTTGTCTCAGGTGAGGTAGGTGAGGCTGAAGGAGAACACCTCTGACAGCAGGCATTTCGTTGTTCATGAGGAATCCTGGTGCCCTCAACGTATTCTATACGTCAGGAAACTGAGGCCCAGAAAGACTAAGTGCCTTGCTCAGGAAAATCCTAGTAGTTAGTAGAAAAGCAGAAACTAGAACCCAGATCTTCCCGATTCACGCACATTTCCCCCTCCCTCTACACGTCCAAGTGTGGAACCCCACGCTGTGATTAACTCGGCTGGTGGGTCTTCCTGCACATTCCGCCAAACCCCTGGTCCCGTGTCGGGAAGAAGCACCCGCCGTGTGCCGAGCTCTGTGCTGGATGCTGTAGAGACGTGGACTGTTTGTTGAGTGTATAATTTTATGTGTCCTGTGTGTCTGTGCCCGGCTGTGAAGCCCTGGCGAGGGCATCGGTTACGTCTGTCTGCTTCACTGCTGTACCCCTGGCACACAGCACACCCAGGTGACCAGAGAACACGGAGCGAGTTCACAGAGGGGGCAGTCCCTGATCCCAGGGAGCTCCAGCATTAAGAGGCAGCTTACACCCTGGCTGGTTTGGCTCAGTGGATAGAGCATCAGCCCGCGAATTGTAGGGCCCCGGGTTTGAGTCCGGTCCAGGGCACATACCTCAGTTGTAGGCTTGATGGGGCGTGTGCAGGAGGCAACCAATCGATGTGTCTCTCTCACATCAATGTTTCTCTCTGTGTGTGTCTCTCCCTCACCCTTCTACTCGCTCTAAAAATCAGTGGGAAAATATTCTTGGGTAACGATTAACAACAACAAAAGGCAGCTTAAACAGGTGGTCTGAAAGCAGCCAAACATGTAAACATTGTGTTTTTAAATATAAAAGAAGCCTAGATGTTTCCTTATCTACAAGCAGAAAGCTTTAGTCGGCTGGAGAGCCTGGCCTGTAAAGAACATTAACCCCAGAGCTACCTCTTCAAGCCTTGGGAAACATGGGCAGCAGGTCAGATGATGAGAGCCTGTGTTTCATACAAAACCTGGAAAACCACTTAGAAAGTCACCACTTCAGAATAAAATAGAGGGCCTGTCTGCACCATGCACTGTCACCCAGAATGTTCTTACCTTTCTAACACAGAAGAGTGATAACCGGACAGTATGTACCCCTGACCTGCACCCCACTTCATCAGAGAAACCACTAGTGGTATCTTTCCATTTCCCCCAATCTGTTTTACCAGAAGCCCAGGAAACTGGTCTCCATTGGTTTCCCAGTGGTCAGGTAAACAGACCCTGCAGAAGAGAAAGAGAACAGAGTGGGTTGATTCAGGCAAACAGCCATATTCAACAAGGGCAAAGAGCACAGCTGTGAGGAGGGGTGGGGCTGGCCCCTCGCAGGGGTCAGCTCATTTTAGCACTGGGTTTCCAGGAAAGGCCTCGTTTTCCTCTTCCAATCCAGAGGAATTAGAGTCGGGGCACTACTGGGCTGGGCCGATGAGGGAAGCTGACCATTAAAGGGCCCTGGACCTAGCTGAGTGGCGCCTTTCTAATCACCCTGTGTGTGCTGTGGGGAGGAAGAAGTTTGGACACACCTGGTTCAGATCCCAGCTCTGGCCCTTAATGCTGCATGAGTTACTGTGCCTTATTTCCCGACCTGTACAACAGATACCCATCTCATGGAGGCACTGGGAAGATTAAGGAAAATACATTTGCTTGGCATCGATTAAATATTCAGTGAAGGTTAATTTCCCACCCTTATGGCAGGGGAAACAGAAGTCTAGATACTCTCAATAAGAGTGCCCTATTAGCAGACTGTGAGGGTCTTTGGAAGTTCTAGAGTCCTGCCCTCTGGGTTCCTCCTCAATTAACCCATTGTCAGCAGGTTCTTTCCATGTTTGACCTAAAGAGCCGTTGCCTCAGTTTGCCTGTCGGTGCCCAGAATAGCCTTTCTTTGCTCGCCCTTAGCATCTAAGGCTTAGACATCTGTGCTTAGCATCAGCTCATGGGTTATTTTATTAGTTAATGGCTTATCACCCATTGCTGTCAGGTATTCATTTTAACACTGAAAGTGCACTGCCTTTGGCCAGTAAGGCTTTCTGTATGTGAAGACAGTTGCCTTTTCATCTTCTCTGTTTGGGTTGGAGGTTCGCAGTTTCTCCAGCTACTCCTTGTATTAACGTTCTTTCAGACCCTTCCATAGCCTCGTTGCCTTCCTCTGACTCCAGTATGGAATGAGCTGTATGAAATGGGGCATCTGGAATGGTCTGGGAAACTGCGGATGTGATCGACTAATGAGAACTCAGTTCCTCAGTCCAGGGCTATTCTGCCTGCGCTCCCCGAGGGGGTGCACCGAGTCTAGGAAGGTGTGTGCTGTTGCTCCTAACATCTCCACACCTGTGTTCGTGGACTGCCTTGGTTGGACAGGTGACTTAGGAATCTGAGTGTCAGACTACTTTATGTCTATTGGGTTTCTCTTATTTGATTACCTCCCAGTATTCCAGCATGTTTTGAATAGAAATTATTTGTCCAGTATACCAGCTACCTCTCCCAGCATTACTTGATACACATACCATCTGTGGCTTTATCCTAATTCTTGCTCAAAAGACGAGACTGAGGACAGAAGACCAATCCCCAGGCCCTCCTTATTTCTCATCCAGGTTTCTGCACTGGGAACCCACCTTGTCTGACTCTTCCTTCTGGGAAAGGAAACGCCCCACGTTTCTCTGTAGCAGGAGAGCTGGAGTTGCTTCCTTAACTTATAAGTCCTCCCTCCTTGATGAGGAATCAGGCTAATATTCTTAATTTTGCATGAAACGCCGACAAAGCCAATATGGATGCCTCAGTAATACTATTGCTAACTTCCCCCAAAGTTGTTTTTATTCGGTCCTCACATGGGCCTGTGTAACCGTGTTCTGCCCGACACCTGTCCTACGCAAAAGCGTCATTTCTCTGAAGGCACCCAATGTGCTTATGTTGTTCCACAGCGTCTGAGCCCCTTCCTGTTCTGCCCAGGAACATGAGCATGCTACTGTGCGCATTTCACTGCAAACAGTCTTCTGCCTATAGGTGTATTATTAAGTGACGGGGCTTTGCCACCACGTGTCAAGGAAGTACAGAATTCTAGAATTCTAGGCAAGCAAAGCTGAGTAATGAGGTGGTAGCGAAGAAGTATCGTGTTGTTTAACATGCAGGATGTCTGCTGAATGATCTCCCGCTGATGGTGCTGAAGCAGTTGTCTGCACCGTGATGGTCCCCAATAAATGCTTATGGAATTACACGTTACAAACACATCCTAGTAAGGACACTCTCTATCCAAAAATCACTATGAATTTCTAGACCTGTCCAGGCTGCTGAAGACCGGGAAATGGGTGCGATTCTCTGCAGGAATTGTGAGAGAAAGAGCACTGCTGGGACAGGATTCTGATGTGAATGAGAAATTTCAACCACACGCTAATGTGATCTGAGATGCAGGATGGGCTGATAATGGCAGTGAGCTGAGTGGGGTGGGAGTGCCTGGAGAACCTGGAGATTTCAAGATCTAACTCAGTGATCTTTTT